GGGGGGGTGAGTTTAGATCCTTAACCAAGATTTTCCAAGATAATGCCATCCATCATAGGATCTCTTGTCCTCATACCCCTTAGCAAAATGGAGTGGCTGAGAGGAAACACCGACATGTTGTTGAAATGGCGCTTTTCTTGTTGGCTCAATCCTCTTTACCTATGAAATTCTGGGATGATGCTTTTGTTGCTTCATGCTACCTTATAAACAGAATCCCTTCTAAACAGTTATCCTACAAAATCCCATTAGAAGTTCTTTATGGTTATAAACCAAATTTCCTTATGCTTAAAGCTTTTGGGTGCTTTTGTTATCCTTTGTCAGACCATATAACAAACATAAACTCATGTTTAGATCTGACACTGGGATTTTCATAGGTTACAGTCCTCATCACAAAGGGTATAAAGTGCTCATTTCTTTAGGAAAAACCATCATTTCTAGGGATGTCATTTTTTATGAGAGTCAATTTCCCTATAAAGAAAAGCTTCATGCATCGGTTCCTGTGTCATCTCAGAATCAAGTTACATAAATGTCTCATCTTGTGTTGTGAATTTTTCTCATCTTTATCACAATACTCATGTTAAGCCTACTCAACCAACCACAAACACACCAGCTCAATCACTTCAAACTCCTCACTTTTCAGGTTCTCCTTCTCATAATACATCTCATTCTTCTCCTCCTTCTGTTTCATCTCATCATACTACACCAAGAAATCCAGATTCCTCACATTTCACTATTCCTTTATTTGTTAAGCTTCCAATTATGATGAATGACTCTCATCAGCATGATAATCATGTCAATGCAGCATGTGTTACTGACAAATCTTCTCATCCTATGGTCACCAGTTCAAAAAGGGGTATTTTTAAACCCAAGGATTTTGCAGCTACTGTCTCTGAGGATGAACCATCATCCTTATCTGAAGTATTTCATGATGACAGGTGGAAGAATGCCATGAGAGATGAATATGATGCTTTGCTCAAGAACAAAACCTGGGATCTGGTACATCTACCCCATGGCTATAACTTGGTGGGCAGTAGATGGGTATATAAGGTAAAAAGAAATGCAGACAACTGCATTGCCAAATTTAAAGCAAGATTAGTAGCTCAGGGCTATTCTCAAACACCTAGATTTAACTTTAGGGAGACCTTCAGTCCAATTATAAAGCCTTAGTTGTGAGCATGCATTGGAAAGTGAATCGGCAAGATGTGAGTAATGCATTCCTTCATTGGGATTAGGAGGAAACTGTTTATATGAAACAACCCCCAGGTTTTGAAGTTTCTTCAGAAGATAAAAGACCTTTGGTTTGCAAGTTAAGAAAGGCAATCTGTGGCCTTAAACAGGCATCTAGGGCCTGGTTCACCAAAATCAAAGGATCACTGTCTCAACTTGGTTTTCACAATTCAGTAGATAATCTTTCTCTTTTCTATAAGGCTACCAAAGGATTGAAGATTTTCCTTTTGATTTATGTTGATGACATTCTTGTCACAGGGAATGACAATACTGAATTCAAACACACTATTCAAAGTCTGAGCAAGCTTTTTCCCATTAATGACTTATGTCCACCACTTCCTGGAATTAAAATACATCAAACTTCAAAGGGGCTACACTTGTCTCAAAGAAGTATATTCATGATCTTCTACATAGAGAAAATATGGATCGGGCCAAAGGGTGTCCTACACCAATGATTTCATCTTCTCAGCTGTCTAAGTTTTCTGGAAATCCCAAAGTGGATGGCACTTTTTACAGAAGTATTGTAGGTGCTCTACAATATCTGACAATTACAAGACCTGAGATCTCTTTTGCAGTCAATAAAGTAAGTCAGTTTATGTCATATCCCCTTGATACTCACTGGAAAAGTGTTAAAAGGATTTTGAGATATTTGAAGTTTACATCTACATATGGTCTTCACTTGACTGCCAACAGAAATTTAAATTTGGTTGGCTTCTCTGATTCAGACTGGGCAGGTGATGTAGATGATAGGAAATCAATGACTGGCTCATGTGTTTTTCTAGGAGGAAATCTAGTTACTTGGTGTTCAAAAAAGCAGAATGCTATTTTTCGTTCAAGTACATAGACAGAGTATCGAAGTCTTGGATCCACAGCTGCTGAAATAAGTTGGATTCAGTCACTTTTGCATGAAATAGGTGTTCCTCTTCCTTCTGTTCATGTTATTTGGGCGGACAACATCAGTGCTATAGCTCTTGCATCGAATCATGTGTTACATGCTCGAACAAAACATATTGAACTAGATGTGCATTTTGTTAGAGACAAAATCAGCAAACAAACTCTTTCAGTGCAACATGTTCCATCATGTGATCAATTGGCAGATATCCATACTAAGCCTTTAAGTCATCAATTCTTCTCTCGGCTGAGACAACTCCATGGAGTAACCAATCTCACCTCGCTTGAATTGCGGGGGCCTGTTAGAATTAAAGATCAAATCTCACATGATCACCATGAAGAATCACGTGAGCTGCATGCATGGCCCACTCAAGGAGCTTAGGTGCCAAGTCACAGATCAGCACCTTTTCAAATCTGTTTTGTTTTGTCTTATGTAGATTGTGATCAAGGGTCATTATTCATCCTACACATTGTACTAGGAGATGCTTATCCATTTAGGGTTTGGAGATACATGAGGCTATATAAAAACCTCAGACTGTGTAATGCACATTTCAAGAAATATACTGCAGCTTTACCAATGGCATCTCGTTTTCTTCATCTGTTGATCGATCCATTTTCTTTTCACTTCTCCTACGGTATCTATGTTGACCTGTTAATTTAAAAAAAAAACTCAATACAATATCATAAAATTGAATGTGTAAAAAATATTACTCTATATATAAAATGACATATT